AGCTCGGAAAAAAGCGAGATTTGCATCGGAAACCCTTCGCAACGACCACGAACTCGCTGCCCAGACCACCGGGAGGATCCGAAAAGTAGATCCCTCAATGGGGGTTCCTGTAAAGTGCCCTTGGTAGTGTAGGGCCCCAAATTAGGGGAGCTACTTTCTAGATCCTCCCGAAGGTCTGGGTCTGGGTGGGTAGTCGCTGTCAATGCTTCCACGTGTTCTCGCCTTATCTGCAGTGTCCGACTACCAAGACTGGGTATGACCACTACCTATCTATCTATCCATCTATATACATTGTTTAGCTAAACCTATATAAGAATAACCTAGGAATAGAAAGGGTGCCCTTTTTGGTATAACGGGGGTTATAAGTTAAGGGAACCTAAACCCGAGAAAAGGGAATAAGGGCCTACTATGGGTCCAAGTTAGAGTCAGACAGCTTCTTTGCATCATGCTGGTCACCTCTATCCGCAAGCGCGTTGCATAACTGAAGCCCTGCACCTACCTAAATCCGCGATCCATACATCCTGGAGTCCTAGACATCATTAGACCCTCGTTAACCCGCGCGGCAACCCAACCTAAAAGCTCAGAATATGCAGGTCTGAGCAGTTGCATAGTTATTAAAAGATCCCATTCCACTACAAATATCCCGAGTTTAACTATTTGAAGATTAGCGCTAAACTTAAAATTAGACTGAAGGCCCAATCATCCAACTGTCGGCCTCCTGATGTGGTGCTCTGGACCAGTCTGGCTTGGGTCCCTGATACAGGGGCTTTCGGACTCGGTTCGGAGTCTTATGGGTGATGCGTCACTAGGAGGAGCGGTCAAGTATAAGCAACAATGTTCTACCAACAGCTAAAGTGACCGTGCCTTGTTAGACCTGTCCTCCCTCAGTACTCTGTGAGGCAAAATGCGTGACTCATAGGACCCTGAGACCAGACAGTAGTAGATCACGTCGAGGGATTATAGGGACTATCAGGATGAAATAGAGATCTAAACTAGAGTGATAAAACAAACTGGATTTGCCAGAGTTTTGAGTGATCCGGGTTGGTCATCCGTACGATGACTTTAAGTTTGTCAGCGTATTACCGACTGTAAGTAAGACCCATTGTCTAAACCAAGAACGGCGTGAAACTATGTTCGACCGCTGGAGCTGAATGCACTTACATGCACATGCACCTTCCCATGCACGCACGCAAAAAAATGTTCAGGCATAAAAGCGCCTAGATATATAACCTACAGCTTCAAATATAGGACAAGAAGATGCACCTGTCAGCATAATCGCCCGTGTGTAGTGCATTCGGTATATTACGAACTAAATGGTTCCTGCAACATTATGCATGCACAGCTGGCTCAGAACCTCATGAGGCTTCCGGGAACAACTCCAGTAAACGCCAACCGGCGTTTAAATAGGGGTTTCAGGTTTCAAGGTGTTTTGGGGGTTTTGGGGCTCAAGATTGAGGCTGCCGTATGGCAAGGACGGACCCACATAGCATAGCGGATTTTCTGGCCCCCTACTTCGCAAGGACTAGCCCGCATGGCAGGGTGGGATTTTCGGGGCTTCCGGGTTGGGTGTTGAGTGCCCAGAAAGTTTACGTTGGCCTCCTGCCCTGCCAGCGCAGGTTTAGGCTTTACGCTTTATATGGGAGTTTCCGACAATAGGGGACCCTAATATAGCACCCTAAATAGTAGGATCCTACTTATAGGGACCCCAAAATAAGGTACCCCTAATTATCGGAAACCCCCATATACGAATCTCGAAGTGCCCTCTGGTCTGAACCAAAGAGTGCCTACGCGGAAGTCTGTAAACTTCCGACATCAGTGGAAGCTTAAGAGGGCGGAAAGCCCCAGTGAAATCTAAACCAAACCATCATTGGGTCTGTCTTTAGGGCTTTGAGTTTGCTTCAGGTGCTAGTGTCTCAGGATGTAGGGTTACGGCTCTTGAAGGCAACGTAACGGGTTTCGGGTTCCGAGTTCCAAATACACTCCTGCTATCTCCTGCTCAGTGTCCAGCGAGGCCTTACACCTAATTGGATGTCGTTCTGGGGTGCGTGTGGTAGAAGATAGTTTATGTAGCTTACATATAGGCAGGTTAAGGGGACACTAGTGCCAATGACTTCCGACCTCAGTCAGAATTGTTCAGGGTTTCAATGCCAAAACCCGATAGACCACACCCTAAACCCTCAAGCTATAAATCCTTCAACCCGAAGCACTAAACCCACTCATAATATAGGGCCGTAATAGTTAGAATAGGGCTTTGGGGTCCATTATGCTAGAAATATAACAAGGAACCCCCTAAATAGTATAGTTAATTATTTAGGCCCCTTTATTAACCCCCCGCCCTCCCGACTTGCCTTGCGCATGGCCAGGGTTCCAGTGGCTGCCAACTCCAGGACTTCCTCACCGGAAGTTTCTCGAGGCGTCTGGGGGCCTGTGAGGGAATCCACGGTTGAGGGTTTAGGCTTTAGGGTGTGTAGTGAATAGTAGCTAGTAAGGAATCCGGACTAGAAGGTAAAGTTGCGAGTAACTCTTCCGAAACGCTCAGGGGGGCTCGTCAAATAGGTTCTGAGCTTCGAGTCGGGTAACATCAAATCTCAACTAAGGCACTTAAACCTCTGCCGTGTACTTGCCGTTTAAGTAAGACTTCTAGTTTGGGGACCTGGGGATTTGAGGTTTTGAACGCGGAGGCCTGGGGTGTCGCGTTTGTCAGATTAGGCCTCTGGTCCAGCTCTGGCTTGGGATTTTTTTTGCCTCCTGCATGGCTGAGTACGAGAGCAGGGAGTTAGGGCTTTGGGTTTAAAAGTTTTAGGGAACCCTGAACCCTAACCCGAAACCCAGGGCTCAGGGACCCCTCTTCTTGCGAAATGCGGCATCTCCTTCTGGCACGAAGAGTCATCAGAAGTTCTGGTTCGGACATAATGTAGGGGCCTTCACAATAATAATATTAGTACACATAATAATTTCAATAGGGTTTTGGGGCTCCTGTTCAGCACGTAAACCCTAAGCCCTACAGCCCGAACCCTAAACCTTGTTGTAGGCTTGAAACTATCATAAGGCAAGAAGTAGAAGGAACTCTGCGGAATAATTTCTGTTTTTTTGTTTTTATCTGGGCTTCTACATGGCTCGAGGCTTGGCTCTCCCTTCCCAGTCGAAAGTTACCAAACTACTAAACCCTAAACCCTTAAACCCTCTTGACAACCCTAAACCCGTAAACCCTAAACCCTATTGCCCTAAAATCCTAAACCCTAAACCCTAAAGTTACTAAAACAAGGGGGATTGTTGACCCCCGGGGCCTCGGAACGAGGCTTTTGGGGGGTGGCAAAAAGAAGCACAGGCATCAAGAATAGCCGCAAGATTAGATTTGCATAGTGAGCGAAGCTCAAAGATGCACGGAATTTAGGAAAAAGGGCATCTCCTGTGCAGCTCGCTCTCGAAAGAGATCGTCACCCTGCATAAACATCACCTGCAGCGGGCCGAACCCAGCAATTGATTCTTCACAGCAGCGAAGCTCTTGATCTACACCCCAAACCGACAATCCTCCACCTCAAACCTCTGTACCCCGAAGCACAACCACTATGGGCTATTAGACCTCATGGGTACCTTAATCTACCCTTAATAGGGTCCTAATAGGGATCTTTAGGCTCGAATAGCCCATAGTGGAAGGGCCATCGTTGCAGCAAAAGCGGTCGGGTTTGGGGAACGACGACCTGCAGTTTGTGGGATCCTGGGATTCAAATATGGGAGTTTCCGAAAAATAGGGGACCCTAGTATAGTACCCTTCAATAGTAGGATCCTTATTATAAGGACCCCAAATAAGGCACCCCTATTTTCGGAAACTCCCATATGATTCAGGGTCTAGGGATTTAGAGTTTACGAATCTATAGCAGAGTTGGATTTAGGGTTTTCAGCGCTCACAACTGGGAGGGTTTTACACTCTCGCAACTCGGACAATGCCAGACGAGGTTCTTGGTGCGCACATCCCAGCTTTAGGGATTAGGGTTCTAGGGACTGTGCAGATTTGGATCGAAGGCTTGCGGTTTAAGCGTATAGCGGCGGATGACTCGAATGTGTTGTGTTTAGGATGGTGCCGACGCGCACACGGACAATCAAGGCGAGGCATATGATTCGAGGTCTGCTGAGTGAATATGCAACTATAGTGATGGTCCAGGGTTTCGTTCCTGCGACATCCTACAACCAACAACGAGGTTTCTGTGGGCGTGTCGGGGCGGCTCGAGGGTTCAAGGTTTCTGGAGCTCCTGGCCCACATAACCTACCTTTTCAAGGACTTATAGAAGGAAACCCTAATATGGAACCCTGAAAAAGGTAGGTTCTTTGAGGGTGTTAGGAGCTCGGTAGTCTTCCGACTTGGGATCTCCCCCTTTTCCTCAAAGACAACGTCCAAAGTGGCCCTGAAGGACTCTCCATCTAGCCCTCGGGGTTTCAAGAACCAGGCTCAGCTCTAATCAAGATCTAACCCCTTCTGATGTACTATAACCCTGAGTTCGACTCCCGCAGCTTTTAGAGGCGAGCACTGGACTTGAATCCTCCAAGGGTGGGTTATCACGGCTCAGGTTTTCAACGTTTCCGGCTGTAGGTTTCCAGTGTTTTGGAGTTCAGGGCTGAGGATTCATGTTCATTCCTGTCTAGCGTTAATTTAGGGACCGTTCTGAAGAGAAAGAGTTTGGCGAGTTTGCTAGTATAAGTATACAAGGCTATACGGACTGAGAGGTGATTCGAGTCACCGCCGATTCCTCAAAGCTCTGCATCAGGTTTCTTACCGGTCTTTGCGCAAAGGCAGCCGTATGATCGGGCGCAAGAAGCACGTCACATCAAATTTCAAGCATACCGCATTTCCGCGCTGCATACAGTGAAATGGCCCGTCATCATTCGAAGCCGCTACTCAGTCGATCCTGCCCCAACGAGATCAACGCCCATGCCCCTCAGTATCTTTCGGCCGCGTAGGTCTTGCTGGATGCAAGGACGAAGCTTCAGGAGCAGGTCATGAGTCATTTGCAACAGCGATCGAAGGTGAAGACCAAGTCCCAGCAGTTTCGGAAGCCACCTGGGGAGCAACGCGAAAGGAGGCTCCGACTAGCTACTCTGGGGCCTTAATCATTACATTATAGTACCCTTATGTGGATCCCTTATAGTAACCCTTATAGATCCCTTTAAAGGAACCTCATAGTAATTACTGAGGCGAAACGAGCACTCCGAGTCACCCGCAGCATCATGACACTCAGAGCTACTGCAGCAGAAATAGCTGCGAGCATGATGCAAACATTGGGGCCAAACGCTAGAAGGAAGCAGAAAAAGAGGAGCCCAGAATCACCGAATACTATAGTGAGGAAAAGCAACCACGATAACAGGAACTGTAGCTTTCTGTTCTAGCAGCACCAGATTCAGAAAAGTACTGGCGATTGCAAGGTCGATTCATCTGATTAAATGCCATAATCGCCCTAAGCCGTACACGGAACAGCCAGCATGGCTATAAGACTGGGCAGAACAGCCTCATGTTCCGCTGCTGCTGAGCTGCTGCTGGTGCTGATGCCGCCGCTCTACCCTGCCACGATGAGGAGTCATAGAAGCAGTGGTGCGGTAGTGCTGATAGAAGTTGTCGTGGTCCAGCTGGTGGTGCAAGTGGTAGTGATTGTCGTAGTGATCGTAGTGACCCCTGCAGTAGTAGTGGCTAGCAACAAGTAGAAGAAGCAACAGTGGTAGCAGCAGCTCTTGTCGTCCTCGTCATCGGCTTCCCCATTTAAATTCCCATAGCCAAAACTGCGAAACTCCAAAGCAGCCCCTAAACTTCCCGCCTGGCCCATACTTCTTCTCGTCACAGCAGAGTCTGGCATCAAAGCCGTCAGTCCAGCAAGAATAGCCTAAGTGTCTTTGAAAGCTCCTTCATCTCTACTGATTGAAGGGATACTATTTTCAGGTTCAAGGCTCCGGGGTTTCATGATCTCTATCAAAGACTGTGCGGAAATGTACGGACGACTGATTTTCAATGAGTAAACTGCCTTTGGGGGAGATATGAAGGGATGTTCTTGACATTTCGTCACTAGCGCCCGACACCACGCATCGCAGTTCAGCCTTTACTACATCCACTCGTATATGCGGGCTGTTGGTGATTCTGAAGTTCGTCTTTAAAGATATATAGTCATATTATAGCCACCCACGACGGCAAACAAAAATGCCCCTTTGTCCTGCAGACCCAGCCTGGGTCGATCTGGTCTCTCGTCACCTCCGATTGGGCCGTGGTCACGAGCCGCTTCCGCAGGAACCACTGGAAGCTTTGGTAGGAAACGAAAACCCCAGCCCGAACACGACCCAGCGTGCGCAGATCCTGAACCTCCTTCCCAAGGCCATCATCCAGATCTGCCCCCACCTCGGTAGCAAACTTCAACACGTCCTCCTGCACACAGTTGTCCCCGGCCGCGAATACCCAATCATCTCCGAAGAGGATTCCACCAGGAGACAAAGCCTTCCAGGCCAAGCGCAACTCCAGCAAAACTTCGCCGCCCTCATGCGCAGAGTCTAAATAAATTACTTGGGGCAGCGGCGTGACATGCCTCGCAGCAAGGGATGCCATCAACTTCAGTGCCACAATAGATGTCGCAGGCAATGGCAGAATGCACATCTGGAGCCCAGCATCATGAACATTGGACCGAAATCGGTCGTAAAGAGCGACCGTGCCGTCAGGACGGAGGAAATTCTTTTTTTGCCTCTCCTCCTTCGTCCTCTCCCAAATAACGTGGGCATCCCCAAGAAACGTGTCCACAGCAACAACAGACGTGTTCAAGCCATGCAGGTTCACCCGTTGTGCGGTGAGGATTGCCGATCCGCCCTCAAAAGCGCCCAGCTCCAACCAAAAGCTCACCGGTTGGACGGCCGAAAAAAGCCTGGGTTGGTCACGGTTTTGGAGGGAAAGTTGTCATGTTGCTGTCAACGACTTCTTTGTCCTGGCCTGTCGAGGAAATATTGCAACGTATCCCACAATGCCACACACACAAGATCTAAACCCGCTTTCCAAAACATACTTACAACAAGCATATTGTCAATAACACCTAGGGTTTATGTAGGAGACTCTGATAAGACCCTTATCAATCCTTTGTTAGAACCCTACGCTAGAATAAAGCACTAAACCCGAAAACCTAAACCCCCCGCACTAAACGCCATTAAACCCGACATCACACCTACGCGCTAAAACCCAAGCCCCGAACCTTAAAACCACAAAAAGAAATGCAACAAACAGAATCTAATAAAACCGAACAAAACCCAAGAAACACCATGTCGATGTCTCTCCTTGAGACATGTGTCATACCACGATCGTAATCTCGAGGCTTCTCTTCCTGGGTTCTTGAAAGTTTAAGAATAATTAGGGTGCTGGGGATTAGGGCTAGGCGCTTGGGTTGCAAGATTTCTTGTAATGAGACTCCATCTGTGATTCCATAACAAGGAAAGTGCAGTGTTTGCTATATATCCAAATATGCGACAAATTCAATTCAGTCCACGAAAACCTGACACAGCCCTTGCCTTGGAGCTAACAACAAAACTCAAAGTTGGCTCTTAAACAACTTTCCGTTCCGTAAACCTTCAGGGAACCCTACAACCCGGAACCCTAAACACCCTTGATTGACGTGTTTGAGGGCACAAACGTCTTCGCGTGTAAGATAAAATTTCATTTTCCGGGACTCTAAATCGCCAGAACAAGAAAAATTGTAGCGTTTACTTTGCACATATGCCCAAGCGAAACTGCGAAACCCACAATTAGACAGTTCTCCGTTCCCGACACCCTGAATCCAAACCTTGAAACCCACTTTAAACTCTTTCAGTCAAAGACGCAGCTTCCCTAAACTTTTTTCGCAATGTACTGGACGGCTGCCCTTATTACCCAGCTCGGCCCACATCGCAGTACTCGCAACAACGCGAGCGTGGCTTTAGGCGCAACGTGGCACGACACTATTTTCTAAATCTCGCTGTGGAAGTACTATAAACGGACGGTGACATTGCATAAGGTGTGCTCAAAAAGATTAAAGGCACATTGCGCAATGAAAATACGGAAGGACAGCCACGTCCCAAAGCAGCGCCAATATCGAAGCACGACTTGCGGCATAGATGGCATGTCAATACTTGGCTCGAAACACAAGCTCTGCCACCCTTCTCTGACATCCTGCGAAACAGCTGTCGAGAAGTCCGAACCCACTGCCGAAACACTGGCACCCCTGGACAAACAGCATGCTTCCACTTGACCCAATCATAATGGAAAGGCTGGCAATAGAGATCTACTGCACATGGCGAATGATTTGCCCAAACCTGTCGTTCAGTTGCTAGGTCACGCAGCTTTGGCAAACTGTTGGAAGCACAGAGGCCCGTCGCACTGGCAACACAGTCAACCAAAATCTTGCGAGGCCCTGTTCTAACAGAACCTAACACATCGTTTTTCCAGATATTTCTAGGCAACTCTGGGGACGGACTAGAACCGTCATTCATCCGAAGCACATGACTCGACTCACGCAATTCCATGTGTGGTTGCACCCATCCCTTTCGCACCTCGGCCCTGCCATCAAGATGGTGCAAAGTGCGAAAGAGCCGACGCTCGTCTATGCGGGAGGTTGAGAGGCGAAGCAGCGCTAGGCCCAAGCCATGCAAGAATTTACTGTTTGGATACAGTTACTGCAGCATCGGTCTGAAGCTTATATGCCATAGCAGTGGCGCAAGAACAGGCGATGTCCACAGCCACTTCGCATGCACAGTCATTGCGGCCAGCGTGTCAAGCCCTTGAATTTTTGCACATCTGCAAAAGCCCACAAAGACGTCATTCACGTCTTCGGCTTGGATCACAAGCGTCAATAATGTGCGAGACCGTCTTTCGTAGACACTTGACCTGGCTAGCTCCTCTGCACTGCTCCAACGGAGAGATCGCTGGCACAGAGCGCTCACCTTCAGCCAACATGGGGCGTAAATGACCAAGCCATCGTCTCAACAAGCACCAACTTGGCACATCATGCATGCTGCAATCTGGCTTGCCATAAACACACTAGAAATGATTGTATGAAACAAAGCCGAAGACACTGCAGCAGACTGACTGTCGTCTTGTTGGACTCCTCTCTCATTTTTGCTTGTGGTCTGCAGTTGTGACACTCGAACTCAAAGTTCAATGTTGGGTGTAGCAGCATCTCACAGAATCGAAGTGTTTCCGGAGCGTGAATCTTCTGTCGAAGGCTTGGCGCATGTTCAAACTCACCATTATAACTCATCAATATTTGCAAGGGTACCTTCCGGGCAAGCGTGAATGCCCAACAAAGCATCGAGCTTTGGCCACCGGGTAGCCCGCGGAATGGGTGCTTCGACTGTCATACCAGACATCTAACCATCTCGCGACCAGCAGCATGCAAATTAATTTGTGAGTGGTTCGCCTCCAGTGCCGGCAACCTTTCTCCCCTGACACTCAACGTAAGAACGGATGAACGCTCTGCCTGGCGCCGCGCATCTTCTGACATGGGCGCGAAGTCGCAGGGGAGCGCACACGACAGTGCGAACAGCTCCACGACTTCTGCCAAAGAGCGTGGCGAGGGCACCTCGTCTTCTCGGGCTGATGTCTCCGCTGCCTAGACCCGTCCACTTCGAGCCGAAACCCTTGACCTCAAAACCTAAACCCTTTGAGCTAAAACCCCCAAACCCCCTTAAGTCCAGGACCCAGCTTCGGGCAAGGGGGCCAGCATGGGATCTCTCCCGAGGTACAACCTCAGAGTCTACTTGAAGGCTCAGGGGTAGTTGTAAGGGTTCTTTTAAGGGTCCCTTTGAAGGGATCTATTAGGGTTTAGGGTCTCGCACTCTCACTGACGCAGGCACGGCTTTTACTTAAGGGTTTAAGGTTTTAGGGTTTAGGGTAGTGATAAATGGAGTTGTAAGTCACCTAATACGGGTTATAAATACAGCTACCTTACTTATAAACCACTTATAACTATACTCATGAACCTCCCAGTAGGCTGCATGGGTTTTTAAGGATGACAGTTTAAGGCCTTTCGGCGTGCAGGGCTTAACTTCTTTAGGGGTTTAGTAGGGTTTGGCTTAGTTGCTGAGTTCATAGGCCCCAACAAGTGTACACTTTTCGTTTTATAGTGGGTAATATTATCCCAAAAAGTGTAAAGTGTATCCACTCAGCTACTAAGTTGGGGTTAAGAACCCTATACGTGTTTGTATCTGGTTTGATCTCCCTCACGCGCGGACTCAGACATGCCATGGCCGGAGAGGTTTGGGTTCAGGAGCTTGACTTAGGGACACCTCGTGGAAAAAACCCTAAAACCTGCAACCCTCGACTCAAGGCCCTATTTTCAATTTCTTAAATGTTAAAGCCTCATAACACCCTACACAGCTCCTTGACAAGAGCCCAGCCACTCCTCCACGAGGATGTCGGCAACTGGGGGCCGACTTCCGTCTCTGCAGCTCACTTCCTGGGCTCCCGTGGATGAAGCAACTGAAGTATGGTCTAAGAATCCTTAGTTGTTTTTTTTGCCTCCTGCCCCGTAGGATGCCGGAATCCCTTAGTTTGGGGTTTAGGTGGTAAGGTTGAGAGTGTGCAGGTTTCGGGGTGTGTTTGAAAGATAGGGTCCGTTTATTCGGGCGTCCTTTCGTTGAGGCTCCTAACTACAATGGGCATGTTATAACCAGGTTCCCGCATGTCCGAAGCTTTGATTTATGTGCCGTCGCACGGATTTCTGATAAGCTTCCCCTACTGTATTGTGGCGCTAGCTTAAAGCCTCAGTAAGGGCCCAGTCGCTGAACAAACCGCCACGCAAAATGTGCTGGCCAATCTGAGACGGTGCCGGATGGCGGCCATGGCACAAAAAGGCACAGCAAAGCTTGGCTCAGGGTTTCAGACCTCACGGATTTAGGAGATGTGTAGTTGTCGGCTTGAAGAGTGTGTCTTTGAAGTCCGTCCGGGGATGCACGATCAGCTAAGAGGTGAATTGCGCGGCCCCTGCCAGTAGAGCGAGTAGTACATGCCTATAGGGATAATTCTTTACGGCCTTTGGTGAGGCCTAGATAGACTCACCAAACCGAAAGAGGATCCAAGCAATGATTGGTACATTAGAAAGTCTGCCTTACCACAAGACTTACCATGACGGACTTGTGTACGTATACTTGGTGCAAGTGTTTACTCAAGGGAGGCTTACCCAATGAATGGTCGGAACCACTAAGCTGATACCCTAAACCTACCTGCAGGGTCAGCGCCAATGGCTAGCAGGTTGAGATTCGCTGAGCAGCATCGCTTGCAAGCAAAAGCTAAGTTCCAGGGCATGTATGGGCTTTTTGTAGAACCCTCCCCCACCCCCCCCCCGCCCCCTCCACGCCACCCACCCCCACTCAAAGGGAATAATGTACCAGGGCAGGCTGTTGCTCAACTTGAAGAAGCAATGTACTTCGACCCTTCCCCTACCAGGGCCCTAAACCAAAACTCAAAAACTTGCATAGCTTCAAAACACGACGCGTTGAACGACACTAAGCCCCAGCCCTGCAACCGTCTAGATCCAACAGGGCGACAAAGCCGTGGGGGCATGAAGAAAACCTCCACGTAAGGTATATCCATCCCGGCACCTTAAGCTCTAAACCCTTTTCATGGACTCGTACTGAAGCCGATGAACCTCTAAACCTTAAACCTCAACATCCCAAGCCCCTACACCTGATACTTTCGGTACTCTGGAAGTTCGAACCCGAAACAGCGCCTGGGAGTTGTCGAGGTACGGCCTGACAAAAGAGAGAGAGGGAGAGAGCGAGAGAGAGAGCGAGAGCGAGAGCGAGAGCGAGGGAGGGGGAGGGAGAGCGAGAGCGAGGGAGGGAGAGGGAGGGAGAGGGAGGGAGAGGGAGGGAGAGGGAGGGAGAGGGAGGGAGAGGGAGGGAGAGCAAGAGCGAGAGAGAGAGACAGAGAGTTTGGGACGGAGGGCGGGTTTTGGTTTTACAGGCTTTCTAGGCTTTCTAGAGTTAGGTTTAGGGTCTCGGGTTTTTTCAGGGTGGCGAGAACCCTAAAATGAGCGAGGGGTTTGGGCTTGCTCTGTTCATAAGTGGTGTAGGTATGGGCAGGAAGGGAGGTTAAAGGCTTAATGGTGTATCGGGCGGGTGGGTGGGCGGGTGAGTGGGTGGGGGTGGGGGGGGGGGGGGATGGTAAGATCTAGAACATACTATACAAGTATGTAGAGACTATGCCAGGATAGTAATTACGAACGTCCCCTTATCCTTTGCAAAACCCCCTAAATCCCTAGGGAAACCCAATAAGACTATGCGACCCTTTTGAGTTGCTTTTTATGGGGATCGTATCACCAAGTTTTCAAACCTAGATCTAACTGACATGTACATCCGAAGTTGCTGAGTTCAGGCTGACCACCCTCCGCGCTGCTAGTCGCGAGGGCTGAAGGATCCTCGTCACCATGTTTCCCGGCACCCTGCGGTGCAGGACTATAGGGTTAAGAGTCAAGGGCTGCAAGTCTTTGGGGTTTTAGGGCTTAGGGCCACAGCGCAGGCCTGAAACCCCACAACAAGAACCAAAACATACTAAAAAAACCTTAAGCCCACCGGATCAAGCCTCAACCTGCAATCTGAACCCTGAACACCAACCCCTAAATCCAAAGCAAACGACTCCTCAAACCGCAAACCCAACACAACTCAAAGTCCAAGAAGCAAAGGCACAAGGCGTCTTGTCATATATCGGAGATAGAAGTTTGACTGAGAGACCCAGACGTTAACTTTAGAGAAGTTCCGTGTCGCTTTTAAAGCTGCTATGGCTGCTGTTGCAGTACCCCGCTTATCTCCTATAGCAGAGTTAGCCTACGACTTAAAACCTAAGGTCCTGCAAAGCCACTGAGAGCCCCGCAAACTCTGCTGAACCGGATCAGTGGAGCGGGTGAGGAGATGATAGCGCCTGCCGGCTGTGAATTGCTCGGGGTTTTTAGAGATCCCAATACCCTTAATTAAGGAATATACCTCAAATTATAGAGGCCTAAATAATATGATTAAGGTATATTCCGAAATTAAGGGTATTGGGTTCTCGGGGTTCCTGAGGCGCCACAGATTTTTGTTGGTTAAGAGGTTTGCCTCACATGGGTTGTTGTCAAAATTAAGGGTCCCTTTTTGGGCACCTTAAATATTAGGTGCCGTATTATAATAGGGGCCCCAAAAGGGACCCTACTTTTGACAACCACACACATGACGATAAGGATCGCCCTTTGACACCTGGACTATGCATATGCCAGGAACCGAGGCGATCCTAAATCCTAAACTCTACATAAACCTATAAACTTTAAACTCCGAACTCTAAACCCTAAACCGGCTACCGTCAAGCCCTTGTGTTTTGAGTCGGTGAAGATTAGGGTTCGGGACTTCTGGGCTTTGGGTGTTTTTCGGGCATTCTTTTGCTTCGGGCTTCTAGGGCTAGGGCTTTAAGCTTCAGGGTTGCTGAGGTGCAGGACTTCAGGATTTACGACTTGCTCTTTGAGGTTTTCGGCTGTGAAGGCGTGCCGGTCTAGGTAGGCTCTTGGCAACCAAGCGTATGGGCTTAGGGTTTCAGGATTTAGGGCTATTGCTGGGTGCTAGAGACTTGGTAAACATGGTCTTGAGTCGAACGGGGCCTACTGAAAGGCTCAGGGGCCATAGACACCATGGTAGCAAAGCACCTATCTTGAGTCAAACAATAGGCTTACAACCAACTACGAGCTTGGCTGCTTTACTCAATTTATCGCCCTAGCTACACTGCTTGACCTCTGAACCTACTCCAGGTTTCAGGGCTACACGCAAAAGAATCCCAAAAAAACCCAAACCCGAAACTGCATCTTTGAAGCCCAACGCCTTGAACAGCCTAAACCAAACCCAAACCCTACTTACCCTTCACCCTAAACCCGAAACCGCCTTACTTAACTTGCAAAGGATCCCAGAACGAGGGAAGCCTCGGAATCATCTGCGCCCCGTCACCCGTGTGCACATTGAAGCCTTGTCTTCGCCGCTTCCGGTTTAAAGGGGTTGCAAGGGGTTAGCATTATCTTTGGGGATTTGCTTGGGATTGAGGGTTCAGGGTTGGGGATTGAGGGTATAGGGTTGAGGATTGAGGGTTTAGGGTTGTAAGGACTTCGGGTCTGGGCTGTGGTAAGGGCTTCGGGTCTGGGCTGTGGTAGTCTCGAGACTAGTTGAATCGGGCTGAACGCATGGATTAAGGGTTGAAGTTGTGGCTAAAACAGCTCGAAAGTTAGGCATGTATGCTTGCGGCCGTGCCCGGATTGATCCTGAACCTACGGGAACCTAGAAACAGCTGGCGAACACCCCTATAAAGCCATAATAGCTTTAATAGCAACCTATAGCAGCGTGTATAAAGGCACCCTTTGTTGGGGGCCCTGTTTCGGTGATCTCACGCTTGGCTCCGACTGCTGCCTCGGAACACCGGGCCTGAAACCCAAAGAGGCGTAGGAGCTCAGGGGTTCCCGGCCTTTGCGGTTTGGGGCGCGAAGGCTCCAAGTTGAGGGTAGCCTTTTGCAACTGGCCTGCTGCGACTCCGCCAGGACGAACACTTGAGGGTAGCCTAAAGGGTGTAGGGTTTAGGTTTTTTTCCTTAAACTCATTTAAACTCTAAACCTAAACCCTAAACCCTAACGGGTTTAGGTTTAGGGTTTGGGGTAGACCCTCAACAACCCGGGGTTTCCTGGTGCTCAAAGATATATCGAGCCTGGCAAGGTCAAGGATTTGTGGGTTTGAGAAAGTACGGGAGTCTGATATAGGCTCCAAATAGCATGACAAGGACCGGTCTAAACAACAACCAACTGTAACACACATGCAGGACGGTTTCCCGGGCGCGTTGAGTTCCGAATGATGTCTGAAAAAGTGGCCGATCGGGTTTTTATGAGTTTTACAAGCTCGGGCAACGGAGGCCGTCCCCTGTGTAGACACCACTGTGCCCAAAGCCATACAATCCGGGTTTCTGGAACATTCTGGAAGACTCCTGCCCCCAAACTGCTAAGCTCCGGACGAGGTCGCAAGCGCCTCTCGATCATCACCTGGCCAGGTCTTGCGGCTGCAAGGCTAAGCGATGTAGGATTCCGGACTCAAATCCCGAGGCACCTACGGAGACCTCAAAATGTGCTAGAACAACAACGCAAGGTGGCAGGATGCCGGTTTAGGACATGGGGGTTTCCGAGAATGAGGGACCCTAATATGATACCCCAAATAGTAGGATCCTTATGCTAAGGACCCCCTAAATAAGGTACCCCTACTTTTCAGAAGCTCCCACATGGCACCTACAGGAGCCGGTCTGACTGAGTTTGAAGCCTTGAGCCCACAAGGACTGTCGACTGTAGGCTTCTTCTGGGTTCTTGTTAAGGAAACTAAGTTGCCATAATATGTAGGGATCTATAGTAAATAGTATGGTTTCCTTCTTATGGCAACTTAAACTAAGCTCCTTAGCAAGAACCCAGTCTTTGGGGTCATAGGGCCTGTGGCCTTCAGGAACAGCTCACTACAGGAAGGATTGCGGCTTTTCGTCGAAAAAATGCGCCTGATTGGCTCGCACAGAAGATGGACTACTTAGCCTTTGGGGTAGAGGCACCTGCGTCCCATGGCTTCAAGAAGCCTTCGTCGAGCCACCCTCTTTTGCATCCTGGCTTATTGTGCTTAACCCGAAACCCCCCAAACCGCCTGAGACCCCAAACCCGTAAAGCAAACCCTAAACCCCTAACTCAAGCCCCAAGACCCCCTGAAACCCTGAAGCCCCAACCCATGCACCCCCCAAACTTCTGAAACTCCACCTCCCCCACCCCACCCTTAACCCTAAACCCTAAACCCTAAACCCTAAACCCTAAACCC